CCCCCCCCCACACGAGCATCTGTTGCTTCAGCAGGCGGAGCTCACCAACGTGGACAGATGTCCTTTCTCAAGTTGCTTAGAGTGACCAGTTCCCGAAACTCGGCCCTGCCCACGTGAGGACCATTCCAGTTTCAGGACAGCCTCCAGGCACCCCTGAGTGTGGGTGTGATTGCAGGGCCTCCGCAGCTCTGCTGGGAGCATGAGTCCTTCGAGGAAGGAGGAGTGAGCCAACGCTCACCAGGCCCAGAGTCTGAGCTGGCCACAGGCTGGTAGCCTCCAGAGGCTTAAAAAAGGCAAAGAACACTAGAGAGGAAGAGGAGGAGAAAATGGGGTCTTGTGTGCCCCCCTACTCTTCCTGAGTGATTCTCAGTCCAGAGAGCATTCGGCCCGGCCAGGAGAGGGGCCTCTATGCTCCGTGGCCGGCAGGTGGCGGGCCGGATGGTGGATGTCGTGCCCCGACCTGCCGGGGCGTTTGTCGGGATGCCGGGGCCGGCGGCAGGGTCTGTGTTAGTGGGTGGGGGCGCTATCGTGGGGTCCCCCTGGAAGGGTCGGGCCCAGCCACGACCTAGGGCCTGGGAGCCCAGGCTAAGCCATGTGGGCGGGCCCCGTCCAGCCCCACCGGCTACACTCGGAGAAGCACTTGTCAGCCGAGGCACCTGCCTGGCGGGGCTGACGGCGGCTGGGCGGCCCAGGGACGCAGGGCCCGCACTTCTGTCTTGTCACCTGTCGGTGTTTGGTGTCGAGGCCACGGGCGGACCCCGGACCGCACGTCCTCCGCCCAGTGACACGGAGGGGCTGGATTTGTTTCTCAGGCAATCCTGTATTTTAATTTTAGATGTATCTCCCGAAGCATATTTTTCATAGAATGTAGCGTGTAAATAGCTTTTTAAATAACTTCTTTTTTATAAGAGTAAAAGTATCTTTAGGAATTTCTTTCTAGAGAGTCCTTCATTAACATTTATACGAGTTTTTTGCCGAGTCTGATGAGCAGTTGGGTTTCCAATGCTTCTCCTCTCCTTCTTTCTTTCTACTGTTATCGTCGGTATTCTTTCTTTCTCTTAGGAACTAAGGTATTGCCTGAAAAACAAGTGATGTCTGTGCAGCCTTATATCTGTCTTTACAGAAGCAAACCGCACGCACGAGACCTGTTCCAGACGCGATCAGAGAGGGGTCTTCAACTCGAATACCAGCTCTTTCTTTCCTTCTTGTTGGCGAAGGGGGTGGGGACGCCGCTATTTTACTAGCACCTTGTGAAGTGTTTCTGTGTTTTGTGATGCTGTAATTTATTAATGTTTGTAGCTTTTTATATTTGTACATTTCTTATGAGCTTTGTTTATACGCCCGTCCCAGGGCGCTGTGTCCATGCGCAGAAGTGGCCCGCGCTGCGGGGGGCGGGAGGGGGGGGGGCGCGGC